TCCAAAACTTGTGGCCAAATGAGGCCGAAACGTCAAACGTTGGGCCCACCGTTGATAAATTCGATCGACGGCCCCATTTTCGTTTCACACCTCCAGAATTTGACGTGTCAGACCCGCGGCCCAGGTACCCATGTACTGGTGGTTTAACTCATATTGATAACAGCTCCATTTGCCAAACTTCCCTCTMCGAGGGTGGGSCATGCAGCTAGCAGTGGCTACRATTGATGTCTGTACAAACAAGCAAGCACGATATTCTGGGACGCTATATGCTGTTTCCAGCAGGTGCTGCTCCCCACCAATAGATGGAGCCTTCCCGAGAGTGCTAGTGGTGTCTGCTCTTATCAGCACCCCTAGCACCACCTTGGGCTGCTTAAAAAAAAAAAGAAAAGGGGAAACTACACGGGAGTCTCGAAAATGAGTTATAATTGCACTATGGGCCAACATACAGTTTCGAATTGCAGTTCCGGCAATGTATACAACCCAGCTTTCTGGTCAGGTAGGGTGCCCGAAGTGCAATTGCAAACTGTATCTCGCCCCATAGTGCAATTATAACTCGTTTTTGTGACTCTACTGAAGTTAAAAAAAGAGAGAGAGAGGGACCAGACTAGTAGATTGGTCATGCATTCCCACAAGCTGACTGGCAGTGGGAGCAAGTGACACAGAACCGGGGAAGTTCACGCTCAATGACCTGCACTCGCTATATACACCAAGGACACAAAGGACTAGCGGAGGTTGTTCTGACCGAGTCCATTGAGAAAAAAACAACCATAAAAAAGGGGACAATGATGTCACCTCTAAAAAGACTGGAAAACAATTTCACCTTTTTCTCATCTACACTATACAGGGGACCTGCCATCCATCCCCCTTTTTTTTTGAAACTACACTCGGCAGTGTAGATCTTGTCTACACTATACAGGGAACCTGCCATTCATTCCCCATTCTCCTCTCCCAGTCACCTGCCATCCATCCCCCATTTTTTTTTTGAACTACACTATATTCTTCTCTCAGATTCTTTTTTTGCCTTTCACTACCTACCTGCCACTACTCCTAAGGCTGGCTATGCAGGGGATCCCTGCAATGGGCCGACTTTAAGCTGTCATTAAACAACTACTCCATCCGGACCAATTTTGGCAAACCAAAGTTGCATTTTCAGTCTAAGACCTGCAGTGCCGCCCTGAGGGAAAGTAATTATGGCACCGAGCCCGGGCACTGTAGATTTTGGCCCGCTACTTGTAGACAAGAAAAGTGAACAGTGCAGGGGCCGTTGGAGTGGTGGTCTAAAAAGGAAAATTGAAGCCATTGTCATGATCCTGGCTATCTTGCACTCAAAGAAAGACGATGACATTCAATTGCAACTGAAATGAAAGAACTCAAAAAAGAAATAGATAAAGGAAGAGGAAGAAATAAGAATGGAAGAAGAAGAATATGAACACCAGCAAGGACCAATGTCAAACCCCTTTCATCTCGCCACCCTCGTCATCCTCCAACAACTCTCCCGACCTCTCGCGACCAAGAATAACAATAAAAACAACGGCGGACACAGCAACTTTTGAGTTTGCAAAGGCCGAAAAAGCACATGCCGCAAAGGTATCACGGCGTGAGTTCGAAACGGCAAGTTGGGTAGAAACGAATCAATTGTGCTTTTTTTCCCTTTCCTTTCCCCGTCTGACACCATGGCCGACCCCTGTAGTTATTACACCTGGCCTGACACCATGGCCCTTGCTACTTTCATCGCTTTTCCAAACTGGGCATGTGTTTTCTTTGCTGGCGCGTGTTTTTTTGCTCATTCGATACTCGAAACTGACATCAACGTACTTGCCCCCAGAACAATAATAGCAAGGAAAGAATGAAACAGAACCAATGTCCGAGTCCTCCTCTTACTACCAGTTACTCAAGAAGTCCGCCATAGTTATCCCACACCTTCTTCTACTAGGTATGACCGGTGGCTATGGTGGACCTTTGGAGTAAAGCTCCGATGTTCAAAGGACAATGCAAAGCTACTATGTCCCTCCTATTATGGCCGCCATGCCAGTACCACCCCCGAAGTCTTCCTTCCAA